TCGCCGCCGCGGTCGTCACTGACGCCGCCGCGATGGTCGTCGCGGTCGCCGCCGCCGCCGCTGTCTTCGGTGCCGTCGCCGGTCGTCGCCGCCGTCGCCGTGGGCTTCGTGGTCGTCGTCGTCGTTGTCGCCAGCAGAGGGAGGAGGAGGAGGAGGAGGAGGAGGAGGAGGAGGAGGAGGAGGAGGAGGAGAAGGAGGAGGAGGAGGAGGAGGAGGAGGAGGAGGAGTTGGACGAGGAGGAAGAGGAGGAGGAGGAGGAGGGAGCGAGACAGAGGAGGATGAGTTGGAGCGGTTTTGTTGTATTTTTTCGGGGTGGGGGGGCTTCCTGGGGGACCCTCGTCGCTACGGCTGGATTCGCCTCGAACGGCTGGTGAGAACTGAGAACGCGTTTTTGAAGAGAACCAGGGTTGGAGGATGGGTGGAAGGAGGAAGGAAGAAGGAGGAAGGGTGGAGGGAAGGATGATGATGACGATGACGATGTTGCCTCAATGTTGTGGCACAAACTGCATGCACCACGTTTCATCAGCAGTATGACGAGGATTTAGTTGGCTCTCGCACCGTTCTGCGAAAAGGGCGTTTCAGCTCGCGTGCTAAGCTATTTTATCTCAGACGTCTAAGTAGTAAGAAGGAAGGGGGGAGGTGGAAGGAGGAAAGAGGAAGGAAGAGGAGCGGGAGGAGGCAGTGGGTGGAGCCGCCGTCGCCGCCGAGGTCGACGACGGCGACGACGGCGGCGGTGTTTGCGGCAGCGGCGGCGACAACGACGGCCGCAACCGCCACGATGACGACGACTACGACGACGGCGACGAAAACGGCTGCGGCGGCGGCGGCGACCTTGGCGGCGTCGACGTCGCGGTTTCCTCCTTCCCCCTCTGGATCCTCTCGAGGTATCCGCAGGTTCCCAGGAGACTCTGGGAGGTGTCTGGAGGCCTTTGGAGACCCCCCAGAGGCCCGAGAAGGGCCGAGAGCGCCCAAAAACTCCGAGCAGCCTCGGTTCTGCATCCTCCGATGCTCGATCCTGACAGGCATGCACACGCGTCGCTGCCGCCACGGCGGCAGCGGCGCCGACGTCGCCGTCTCGTGCCGCTTGCGCCTGCGGCGCCGCTGGCGCCTGCTGCGCCGCCGCCTGCAATTTGTTCATCAGTTTCGCCGAGTTTCGGGCACCAGGACCCTCACAGATCGATCCGGCTTGAAAAATGGCGCAGACGGATGGTGTCCAGGGCTCCAGGCGCGATTCTTCGCGATGTTGCATTTTTGCGGCAACGTCGGATCTCAGGGGGTGCCGCCATCACCACGGCGGCGACGCCGCCGCCCCCAGACATCCGGCTGCTCCAATTTTTTCGATGCGTGGGTTTTCGATGCGTGGGCCCTGGAGGTATATAGGGCATGTGTTGCATCCTGTTTTTTTATGGTCTGGCGAGGGCCCGCGGAGGCCGAAAACAGCCCAAAACAGCCCGCTCCAGTTTTTTGCTGGAGCGTCGGATCTGTGTTGGTCAGTGTGCGCGCGCGTGCGTGTGTGTGTGTTCTTGTGCGTGTGTGTGTGTGTGGTTTGTGTTGTGTCAGTTTTGTGTTGTGTGTGTGTTGTGTTGTGTGTTGTGCGTGTGCTGTGTTGTGTTGCGTTGCGTTGTGTTGTGTTGTGTTGTGTTGTGTATCTTGGGCGTGGGTTTGAGCGCGTGGGCCTGGGCGAGGCCGTGGGCCTGGGCGTCGGCGTGGGTGTGGGGCCTGGGCGTGGGCCTCTGGCGTGTGGACGTGGACGCGTGGGTGTGGGGCGTGGGCGTGGCGGAGGGGTGCGTGGCGTGGGCGGTGGGCGTGGGCGCGTGGACGCGTGGACGCGTGGGCGCGGCTGCGTGGCTGCGGGGCCGCCTCCGCCCCCTGGCAGGCATGCTCGCGCACGGCTTCGCCCCCGCCTGGGGCAGCGAGCCCCTCGAGCTGGAGCCGCGGCGGCTGCAGCTCGCCCCGCGCCGCCCGGGGGCCCGCACGCCGGGCGCGCCCGGGGGGCTGGCGGCAGACTCGCCTCCTCCTCCTCCTCCTCCTCCTCCTCCTCCTCCTCCTCCTCCTCCTCCTCCTCACCCTCCTCACCCTCCTCCTCCTCCTCCTCCTCCTCCTCCTCCTCCTCTCCTCCTCCTCCTCCTCCTCCTCCTCCTCCAGCCCAACGTACCTGTCATCCAGACTCGCCTCAGACGAAGCGTCCTGGCTTGCCTGTAGCCCTACCAGGCAATGTTCTCAGCACCTTTTGTCTTGGCATCGCTCGGACGTGTGCATGTTTGCCTTCGGCGAGGACAATGGAGGAGCATCCTGGATCATGTGGCGAAAGAACCACGCACGAAACCAACAAAAAACACAGGAAATGGGCGTCCGAGCGATGGCCAGCGGCTCGCCTATAGCCCTACCAAACGATGTTCTCAGAACCTTTTGTGGTTTCCACGAAGTGTTCTCAGAACGTGTCTGGCGGAGTCTGTCTTTTTGTTGTCACATCGGGTTGATGTTCAAAGAAAATTGTTTTCTGTTCTTAGGACATGTGTGGGTTCGAAGAACATTTCGTGGTATGACTACAGGAATGCCGGGACGGTCGGTCCCTGCTCGATCAGAAGAACCCCTACCCCTTTGGGAGGGGACCTAAGCTAGGAGGGCCAAAAGCATCAGGGACAGGAGGTCTTCTCTGCTGATGTATCAGGCCAAACCGCCCAGAATCATCACCCCTAACGCGGCGACGGGGACCTGAGCGAGGCCACGTCCTCAGTATGTTATTGGGGTTAGGGGCTTTTAGATCCTCGATGATCGCCCTCGCCAACGTGGCCGTCGCTGCCGCCGGCGCCGCCCCAGAAATCCGATGCTCCAAAAAATTGGGGCGGCCGGTTTTTTTGGCCGCTTTCGGTCTCTGGGGGCCCTCGTCGGGCCTCGGGATCGTCAGAAGACGGCTCGGGACGCAGGACTGGCCCTATAGAGAAGTGGTCCGGACCTCCTTGGGGCCCACGCATCGACAACAATTGGAGCAGCCGGACGTCTATGGCCAGCTGCGACGGCTGTGGCGATGGTCAGCGATAGCCGGCGGCGTCGTTGGCTGACGACGGTCGACGGTTTCGGCGGCGGCATGGTCGTGGTGGTGAGGGTGGTCTTCGTGATCGTCGTCTTCGTCGTCCCAGTCGTGGTAGTCGTCGTCCCAGTCGTGGTAGTTGTCGTCGTGGTCGTGGTCGTCTTTTCAGGGGTTTTAGTGTGTCTCTTGAAGCTCTCGTCGCAACGGCTGGAAGCAGCTCAACAAAAGTTGGGTAGGATGATCCCCAGGACGGGTCCGGGTCCCGACTTGTGAGGATTTTGCTGACAGCGACGTTGGTGGTGATGACGAGGGGGAGAGGAGACGGAAAGGGGAGGGGGACGAGGAGGAGGAGGACCAGGAGGAGGAGAGTGGGGAGGACAAGCGAATTATTGCGCTCGCGCCTGATCTGACATCCTGTCCCTTCCCCTCCATCCCTTCCCATGGCGCTGATTTTTCTCTATCCGCGGGCGCGTGTCACAGCCGTTCTGCGACTCACACAGGAAGACCATCTCATGTCATGTGCAACCGGGAGAAGGGGAGCTGCACAGGAGGAGGAGGTGGCGGGTGAGCAGGAGGAGTAGCGGGAGGAGAATGACTAGGACGAACAGCAGCAGCAGGAGCCAGAGCGGAGGGATCGGGAGGGACATGAGGACCAGGGGCAGGCGGAGGAAGGGAAACGAGGGGGGCGGCAACGATGAAGAGGGACTCGGATTCAGAAAAGTGGCCCGCGCTGGGGCGAGACGGGCAGCAGCAGCAGGACATGGAGTGGAGGGAGCGACACGAACAGGAGGACCAGGGCAAGGGGGAGGAGGGGGAATGAGGGGGGGCACCACCATGGAGCAAGACTCGGATCCAGACCAGTGGCCCGCACGTGGGCTGGAGCGCCAATCTGAACGACGGGAGCAACGCACTGATCCCAAAATGAGGCCCACTGGGCACCACCGCGAAACACCAGAACCACTTGCATTCGAACAAGCCACAGCAAACAACAAAGTTTGGAATCCTGTGCGTAGAGGACATGGCGCGGAGGGGCGGGAGATCTCCTGGACAATTTCAGGAGAGGCCGGGAGAGTTGTGTGTTCATCTTGTTTCAGTGTGAAGGGGAATGAAGAGAAAGACGAGACGGACGAGGAGAAAGTTAGGGAGGAGGAGGAGGAGGAAACGGTGGAAGCAGCACACAGCTTCCCCTCGTCCTCCTGCCTGGTGAGACGGGGGGAGGCTGACTAGTGCCGAGGCAGGGGAGATGAAGAGGAGGCAGGGGGACGTGGACAGTAGGGGCGGGCAGGGAGCCTCAGGGACCGAAAGGGGAGGGAGGGACGAGCAGGGGAGGAAGGAGCTTTGGAGGATGGGCGTGGGAAGGAGGGAGGAGGGGGGAGATGGGGAGGGGAGAGGGCAGGAGGGCAGGGAAGGCGCGGAGGAAGGAGGTCTGGCTCGAGAAGGCGTGGCCCGCGCCTGCCGCCGCAACGCCGCGCCAGCCCCCCCAGCGGCTGGTCAACGGACGGGGCGCGGCACCTGCCATTTCCACACGCGAGCACACAACCGTCGCCTCGCCGCCTGGACTTGCGAGCACGTTCGGGCCACTTCCAGCATGGCGCGCAGCCGCCTGGAACCCGCACTCCTCGGCGACACGGGCCGCGCCGCCGCACGCTTCACCGTCGGTGAGCACTTCGCCGATTCACCGCTGCTGCACTTCGTGCCCGCCGCCGCTGGGTGTGTCAAGGACGCGCTGGCTGCCGCCTCTCCGTTCCGCTGGGTGTTGGCCTGGCCCGCGCGCCGCAGCGTGGCTAGCCTGGCAGACGAATGTGGCCGCCAGCTACGTTCGTTCGTCCTCCTTTCCCCCCTCCTCCTCCTCCTCCTCAGAGCTGGGAACGTGGAAGCCTCCTCCTCCTCCTCCTCCTCCTCCTCCTCCTCCTTCCTCCTCCTTCGGCCCAGCATATCACAGACCAGGAAGCTGGGCGCGCCGGCCGCG